ACAGTACACACATCGATTGCATAGCAATCAAGTCCGTCAACGACACACTAGACGATCTCAAGTTAGCAAACGTAAGAGATCCGGTTCAGTAATCTGAGAAATTTATAGGGCTCAACAGATAAGGGGAACTGCATGGCTGACGTTTCGACGGGCTTGTACAGCTCTCTATTATCAAAGCGTGTTACGTAATAAACGACCAGAATTTTGAATAAACGGCCGAATTAATTGGCCTTTGGCTGAGCGATTTTTCTTCCTTCGCTGCCTTGGCCTTCTGGCCGTTGTCTGTGAATGTAAGCGGCCTCCTGCGTTGCGTGTCGTCACTTCAATGGGGTTTAGTTGCACTTGTTCTCCCGTTTCAGGTGAATTGGTTGACAGGGCACTGACACCTCATCAGTTGTGTAGAATATATTGTAACGATGGAGACTGCAACTACGTTGGGAAAACCGTGCGGAAATTGCAGATCCGCCTACATGAGCACAAACTCGGAGGCTAGACCCAGACTCAGATTGCGACTCACATAGGAGAAAATAGCCACCGTTTTGATTTTCAAGGAGCAGCCGTCTTAAGCCGGGGCTCCTCAAGGTTAGCACGTCTCACACTTGATGCTTAGTACTCAAACGCCAACTCTAGCAACAGGCATCTAGATCTTTCTGCGGCCTATAAAGTCCTACGTAACTGAATACTCTATGACCAGGAAAGGAAGGTCACACTTGACTTAAAAATACCGACCAAACACGGCCCGTCGACTAATTCACCCGAAAGGGGAGCAGGAATGCAACCGACCCCCTTTGAAGAGACGACACACAACGTAGGAGGTCGCCAAGGTTCACGAACAATGACCAGAAGATCAAGGCTGTAGTACCCTTTGCCATGTTTTTATTTATCCATAAACTTTTATATTTGCTCTACTTGTTAAGCATTTCCTAAGCTCGCATTAATGCACAGCTTCAGGTTGGTGTTTCTAGAACAGTTACGGGGGCCCTCCAGTTGATGTGAATTTCGGTTTCATCAACTGAAATTTAAACCATTGCCTTTGTTCTTCACTGGGCGGCGTTGACGGCTAAGTCCGTTTTGGTGTGACAGTTTCGCTTGGCTTTTCCGACTTGTTCTTGACGTGGGATCACATCATCGATTTCCATAATTCTCTAAAGCACAGAGAAGGAGAGAAATAATCGGTCAGCACAAGGCCAACTTAATTGACCGTTTTTTTAAAATTCTGGCCGATTTTTCTCAAAAAACGCTTTGGTAATTGGGAGCCGGTCAAGCCGTCCGAAACGCCAGCCATGCAACTCCTCTGACTAGTGGATCCCTACACATTTTTAAAATGCTCTGTCCCACCAGTCATTTTGATCCGCTCGATCCATCGCTTCGCGTCAATGAATTCAGGACGTAAGAACAAGGGCCAGTAAAATTCTTGTGGTCACAAAGTTGAGTGCCCATTCACACATATCTCCTCAACTCTCTTTAATTTCTCCTAAATAAAGCGTCTACAGCGGCACGAGCCGGCCTTAAAGTTGCACTGTCATTTCCTTCCACTATTCACCAGGGAGTATTTTCCCCTTTGACTTGTGAAAGAGGGAGAGATACGATTCATTTTGGAAGTTGCATTCCAAACGTTTCAGCGAAAAACCCCTTTTCAAAGTGGATAAAGTGGGTAGGCCAAACAGATAACACTGGGTGCTGACAAGCGATAACTACCGAAAACTGTAACGATCGCATCATGTAGAGCCGCCGGTGCATGAGTCACAAAATTCGCGTCGGATTTAACATCCTTCACTATATCGCTAGCGCAGTGTGTGCATGACCTCATTATTGGTAGGCCAGATATACAAAGGGGGGGGAATTAGTACATACTGAGTAAAATAGGCCAATGGATGTTAACACGAAAAAGTTTTCATATGAGTGGAGAGCAGAAAAATGGCGACTCAAATTAAAAAGCCTGCCAAAAGATCAGACGACTACCTGAAACCAGATTTTCAGTGCTACCGCCTATGGAATAAGCGCGCACTTACTTGAAGAAAGTGAAACCCTTTGGACAACTGCTCAGTTAGGAAGTCTTCATGCGTCGTTTACTTTAAACTATGGCTCGAGGAGTTTTGGAAAATTGCGTGTCCAGTAAAACCGCACTATTTCGCTTTTCCTTTTTCCTGGGTGTGATGCGCGACAACTCGTACGAAAACGTATGTGTATGTGCGCGCGACGATCTCCGCCGTGTCCCCTACGGAGTGTTCTCAGACCCGAAGATTTGCGCATAAATTAGATTATAGAGTGACGGGTTTGCGCAACATATATGGCACTCTCTCCTTCCTCACGCCCCTGCTTCAATGACAAGAGGATATCAAGACGATGGGAAATGAGGTTGGACTCAGTGGCTGTCAGGGTTATACGGCCAGTCACGCGTGTACCACATGACCTATTTCCGACAGCATACAGTAGATTATCCAACACTCTTCGTTGGCATTTGAATGGGTAGTACCGCATGAATTTGGCGTCTTTACTTTGTTTAGGGAATTGATGTAAAGCATGCAAACTCCTTCAAGAAAGAAGAATTCATTTTGAATCTGTTTCACGAAAAGAAATCCGATCAAGATTAGGTAAAATCGAACGTTTTCTGATATTCAACTAATTTCCTGCGTTATTTAGTAGCACATGTCAAAACCTTTTGTTTCCGCGCGTTATGTTATAAATAAGCACTAATAAAAGCAGGAAAACTTTCCCGCAAATTCCTCTTGAAACCTGAAAATTGGATGTTGCGTCCATGAAAACCAGGGGAAGTCAGGCATTCGAGATCGCACTGTTTTAAGAAACAAGGGGCGAGCCAAGCTTTGGTAATTCTACTTCGTGATTTTGCAGTCCTTGGGGCCATAAAATACGGAAATAAGCGTACTTGGCCGTAGTTTCTTTTGTCACCGCTAGAATTTGTAGGTATAAACAAGTATGAATTGTGAACCTGAGACATGCCGCCACCTTTCTGTGTCGCGTCGTGCGTTGAAGATGTCGAAGTACCTCCCGTCGGACGTCGATTTGGGGCGCATACGAAAATTGTCTGCCGATGGGTTACGACCTGAGTCGTTTGCTAATATTTTCAATATTAATCAGGCCGCTCCGTGAAGAATGAATAATATAACAGTGCCTAGAATTAATTACGGTGGGCCAAAACGGTACGAAAGCAAGCAAGACGACGATCGTATTCATCGGAGAGCGGTCTGTACCTCACAAGGATTTAAATGCGAAGCTTACGGCTTTTTTCTTCTGATAGGTCACGAAATGTATACAGGGCTTTCCCAAAAGCGGCTCGGGTCTCACATGCGTGGTAATGGCATGAGGGGCACAAAGACGCAGCCATTGCAGTCTGACGCACAGTCCTAACAATGGCCGAATTGGAATCAGTCTAAGGTACGACGTTTGACATGTCATGTTAGATTCGAGTGAGTCAGATTTATTATGGGAAGCAGTGTGTCGTGTGGATGGATTTCCCAATGTGGGCCACACCATCCTTCCTTCTCACATGCTTCGCTCACCGTCCTAACTCTCGTCCATCTGATGATGATTCTGGGCGTATTGGCTGATGGGTCAGTAAGGCATATGTCTAGGCCCTCCAACTTCTGAAGTAACATGACCACTTAAGTAGCATGACTTTTTTCATTGATTTTCGACGCCCTTATAAGTTTAATTATAATTATTATACTCGAAGAAAGGGTATAGTTCTTTTTTCAAGAGTTTTCTATTTTGAGATTTTTTATACCGTGAAATGCCCGTTCATAAAACATCGTGTCTCTGTAGTTGGAAGTGTGGCTTGTAAAGTTTATAATATGGCTTAAATCCACTACCAAATTTTAGGAATCCCATATGGTCTCATCTTAATACTGTAGAGAAATGTACGGTTTTCCATACGCGGAAAATATATGGCTTGTAGTTTGGACACCCTGAATGCAGGTGTAACAACAGATCGTGTGCAAAATTATTCGGGAATTATAGAAGTTTTTGAAAACCGAATTATACCCTTTCTTCGAGTATAAAATTGGAAGAAGACGTAATATTCTGCCAAATGATTGGGAGAATGAATATTTTTATGCATGTTTTCTATCAAATATAACTGGACTGTTAAGAGCATCGAAAATCGATGAGAGAATTTCATGCCACTTAAGTAGTCATTTTTAACAGAGTGTAGTTTGTGCGTGCGGCCGGAGAGAAGTTCGTTCGAAAGCCAACATCCCGAGGTAGCTGAATGATTATAGAATTATGCCGCCGGATGGTTACTTTTAAAACCCTACTTAAGTAATTTTTTCGAAACGAAAACGCATTTCAGAATTTCGGTTAACATTTTATGAGTTGGCACACCTACTGTAGTTATAGCCTCGCACGCGGTCTGATTCCCGCGTGCCGTGAGCCAATTCGACTTCGTTTTGGTTAGGAGCTACTACAGCGCAGCCCGTTTTGTGGGGGGACAACACATGTTCGCACGTCTACAGGCGTGAAGAAGAGTTAAAGCGAGCTTTGGTGTCGTGCCTACCCGCTGTGCACCGTTATTCAGACTGTCCCGTTCTGCAGAGGACGGAGTTATTTCTAAACGAACCCTGGCGAATTTCGTCCTATGGCGTGCTGTCGCAGCGTAAGGACTGCGGTATTCCACTGGCCGCAGCTATCCCCGAGACAGTAAACGTGATTTGTTCAAGCCTTTCGCCTTGACGCGTCAGTAGGAAGGTCCGATGCAATTTGTTGCCTCTATCAGGTTTTGGTCCGTCAGCAAAAAGTCTTTCGTTGTGACTCCCCTTTAATATTATAGTTGTTTCAACTCTGAAGCTGCCTGCTCAAATGCGCACATCGATGCACTTTGAAAGCACACGTTTTTTCCCCCTCAGTTAAGGTGATCCAGGTGACAAAACGCGTCAGCAGGCCTGACTGCTCTCTGTCTCGTGCCAGTTTAAAGTACCTACCAAATGACTATTTCGGCTCGAGAGGGGAACCTCTTCACACCAGCCACTAATCTAATTGGGTGGATGATGATGAGGAGCACTGGAGCCTCCTGCCCGCCGTTGCCGCCGCTCCAACGCGCACAGAGACGCGACATGGCTGTCTCTAAGGACGGAAGGTCTGCGAATGAAGATGCAGCATGTGGCAATCTGTTTCTCATCTGTGGGCCAGCCCGACAGACAGAGGATGAAGGGAATGACGACTGGCGATGGCTCATTTATAATCCAGCTACAGAAAAATCCACTGAAGTTTTTAGCACAACAAAACGTGTGAATGCGTCCGTGGTTGCCATAAATGGTAAGTTGCTTTGCTATCTAGGATACAGTCACCCGTACTGTTCTCTATTTTATTGGCTCAGTGACGCTCCTGAGCAACGTCCTATTTAATGCTGCTCGTCGTGTCTCGTGCGTAGAAACAAATGCACGCACGTGCAGTGTGGGGCAGATCTCATGAAATGTTGGCCGAAATTCTGAAACGAGTGTTCGATTTGGAAGGCGGAGTTGTAATACTGATAAGCATGCAGCATAATCCTATAGTATTTCCTACTCGCCAAGATGTTGGCTTTTGAATGCACTTATTTTCGACCTCCTACAGCAACCACACTCAGTAAAAGTGGCTACTGAAGTAGCACGCATTTTTCACATTAATTTTCAATGGTCTCATAAATTAAAATATATTTCATAGAAAATATGCAAAAATATGCGTTCTTTTACTTTTTGGTAGAAAATGACATTGTATTAACATTTTATTTCCTAAAAAAACTGTATGCATAGGTTTAGGAAAAGTTTCCTATTATGAGCGTTTTAAGACCGTGCAATGTCCCTACATACAACATCGCACACGTCCGTTTATCAATACTTCTTATGAAATGTACAACATAGTCCGCATCCATTGCAAAATTTTATGATATTTATATAGTGTTTTCTTAAAAGCATGAAGGAATATGTGATTTTCCTTACGCAGAAATCATACAATTTGCAGGCTGAAATCGCTAAATGCCAATGCAACGGCTGATCAGGCTCGAAATTATTCGGGAATTATGAAAATTTTTCAAAACCTAAATATACATTATCTTCGGATATAAAATGTTAAGACAATGCGATTCTCTACCAAAAAAGTATAAGAAAGCATATTTTTGTGCATGTTTTCTCTGAAATATATTTGAATTTATAAGACTGTCGAAAATCAATGTGAGAAATGCATGCTACTTCAGTTGCCATTTTTTACCGAGTGTGGTTTCTGCAGGAGGTCGGAAATAAGTGCATTTTAAAGCCAACATCTTGACGAGTACAGAATACTACAGGATCATGCTGCATGCTAATCAGTAGTATAACTCCACCTAAGTAATCCTCCCAAATAAAACACGCATTTCAGAATTTCGGCCAACATTCCATGAGATCGGGTACGCACTGTATATATGAACACCAACCACTGTCCGTTTGTGTCGGAGAGTCCAGTGCATGTGTGAATACACACTCGGCCCGCAGCGGCGGAGAATGCACTAATGAATCTCCGTTGGAGGAAGTACTTACGATTCCCCTAAGAGGCACTGTGTGTGGAGTGCACGCGCAATGTGCGTGCGTAGTTTTTTGCTCCTAGTCACAGGCGGTCTGGGCTATGATTGGCTACAAGGACCATCCCGACTGACATCTGTGAAGAACAGGCACTCGCATTCTGATTGGCCCACGATGACAGCCTTCTATAGTATTAGGACTACTCGCTGCTGACGCTGGTGGACCGCTTGGCAGGCGACACCTCAGCTCCGAAGCGTGCCTTCAACGCCTGAATGACAGTTTTGAGGACAGACATTCTTGTTGAGTTGTCCCTCAAATATCAGGGTGACCCTGTAGATCGGTAAAATGCATTTTTGCGAGACCTATTCGTCAAGGTTCTGGAAATCAGGGTCGGGTAGCTCACCTTCCATGGTCTTGGCATTGTCTTGCCACTGGAGCCAGGCGGGCGAAGAAATGAAGAGGCCGGTAAATGTTGCGAAAGTCTCCCTCGCCATAAACTTATTCATGAACAGGTCACCGCTGCTACAACCACTCTGTGGAGACGCGATGGACATCATTGCTTCTGACGGCCGAACTGTTCGGTGTAAAAGCATTTTTTGCCACCAACAGATCTCTCGACGGAGGTAACGAGAACTTGCTTTGATTCATATCTATCTGTAGGTGCCGCCTACCCGTAGACGCATTTATGGGTGAGCATAAATCGCTCGCTTATAGGGGATGCAGTACTGGTTTTGGAAAACACTGCTTCGATAAGTTTCACCGCCGCATAAGGTCTTATGGATTGAATTATTAACAATTTAAGCTGTGCTTCACCAAACTGCGCGCAATTCTGAATGTGGACCCCAGAACCGAGGAGAAGACTAGCGTTTCCGGCAGTCAATCTGTCTTCCCTTTGTTCATTGGGGGACCTTCCTTGGCACATATCTTTCCGTCGTTTTTTTGCTTTCATGTGTCACCACCAATAGGAACATCTTTCGAGATACCAGAAAATAAATACAACATTAAGGCAGTCAAGTTTCGTACTTTACTCGAGGTTCACTACTTGGTATGACCTCCATTTGCTGCGTTTATTGTTAAAAAACTGCGAGTATGCCTTCAGATGGCTTCCGGATCGACATCTGAAGTTGCGGTTTCGAAATTAATGTCAGTGCACTGGCGAGGAACTGTGTTGCTTAAGCTTGCGATCCGTGACACTACATAGGAGTTCAGCAGAGCCAAAATGGAATGGTCTAAAGGCCGCAAATGCTAATGGATACCGGACACTACTTTTACATTTGAATTACTTACTATCGATTAGACGGAGTTTCATTAGCATGGAAAATGTCAAAATGGTAGACCGAAAAGCCGCACACCAGCCAGATAACTCAGAGACTTCATAAAAAATAGTTATGCAAGAATCAATGTATCTACATCCATAGCTTAATTTGTTTTTTTATGAACTCTACTGTTTTTGCTTTGGAGATGCAAATGGTGCATTCGATTTTTTTCTGTCTACGCGGTTATCATTTTACCGTCATACTCAGTTTTTACTCTCGTTTGTGCCGTCCGATTTTCTCCCGGACTTAAAATAAAGTCCTGTTCCGCCCTGTTCCCTAAACCAGTTTGTTAAGTAATGAGCAGTCAAAGGTTAGAACGTTTACTTCCGAACTGTTACACTCCCCATTGTCACAAGCGCTTTATTAAACCAAACTTTTGTCTGTGTAGTCTTCAGATATTTCTTGTTCCCATTTTTACTCACTTGTTATACCAGCATTTTGAATCTGGGCTACTTTAAGAAATTCGTCCGCAAATATTTATTGAGGATTGATTGGCAATTCCATAATGAACCGTCTCTGGATAAGGCAAATAAAGATGGTAATGCTATCAGAGACCTTTTCCAGGGACCACCTCCAGGGGCATCCGACAGCCTAGGTTTCCTATGTTAATGAGGATGGTAGCGACCGAGGTCTGTCAATCTACCTCAGCCCCAAGGTTGGCAGGTGGGTAAGTCAAATTCCTATGGAACATTCAGAATGTGTGGTCAGGATCAAGATTTTTGATCATGTGCATTTGACTCTGACACTGGCATTAGCGGCTCGCACATGTTTTCTCCCCTTCCTACATCACCATTTTTGCTTATTGATAGGTCTTGTCTATGTGCTCGGAGGTCGTATAAGCGGAATAGAGACGGCTATCGTAGAGGAGCTCAGTGTAAACTCTCGGCGCATCCGAAATATGAGTCCAATGTCCTTTACCCGATCCAACCACGGTTCCACAGTCGCCAGTGGCACAATTGTTGTCTGTGGAGGCTACAGTTCAGGGTCCGTCCTGTGCAGCTGTGAACTTTTCCTTCCTCTACGCAACACGTAAGTAGTCACTAGTTTAGGATGCATCAATATGACATCTTAACTTTCCTCGATTCCCGAGAAAACAAGCAAAGACTGCATTTTTCGCATCTTTTTGCAACCTACTGACGAGGTCGATGTGTTTTTGAAGCAGCCTTTTAGGCTGATTCTTTCCTTAACGTTCCCCTATTTATTTCCCCGTCGTTAAAGGAATTTTCTTGAGCATCCAACCCACTAACCCAGAGCGAAGCCCGACTGAAACTACACTCTCTGGATTCACCTCTGGTTCTGACCTCAAAAAATGAAAATAAGACAACTGACACGCAAGGAGTAGACACCATACAAAAAGGGCGTAAGATGGTAGTCGAGTGGGGTGGGGCAGTGTTTCATGCGAGACGTTCAACCTTTTCGTTTTCTGGAGGCGGGTTACCGTGGTAGTCCATAAGGAAGAAAAAACAGCAAAAAACCCGAACTCCCGTCTCTGTTTGATATGAATAATCCTTTCTTCTGTTTACTCAACATTCTTTATGCATCCTACAGGTTATTTAAGATTTTGTAATTACCGCTTGTTTACTTTTTCCCACTGGACCAGCAAAGTGATGTTTTCTTCCATCACAAGTGTTCAAAACTCTTTGCTAAACATATCGGTAACCGTTCAGCCAGGCGGGAGTTTCCGGACCGTTTGGTACCACCAGACTGTTCTTTCCGAATCAGGAACCGTAACCAATCACTCAAGGTTTCAAACACGGGGTGAAGACGATCACTAGAAATTTCATTAGTATAATCTCAACAGGGCGTGGCGTTCGCAAATGAGCCATCTTTATGTGCCACCGGACAGTTGTTACGAGCGCTCGGGATATGTCTTTTATCCTTTGGCTTTGGTCATGTTGTTGCGCCGAACCCATCATTCAGTCTCTTCCTGACAATACATCATGTGATTATGAGTAGATCGGTAAGCTTAGTTGAATATTCCTTTCCCTTACAACGAAAAGTGGCCCTGGAAAATCGGTTTATATAAGCGGATGATGGTCCTTTCTAGATTTTGCAGTACAAGTTCTGAATATTGTCTGGAGACGCTAGAGCGCTTGGGAGTTCCCTCAACCCATTCGCATCCTTCACATTGGAAGACTTTACCAGGGTGAAGCTGTTGGTTGATTATTGAACGCCTGGCGCATTGGGGGAGCCTGAATCTCACCAAACTCAAAATAGCCCTAATAGGCGGTGGGCGGTTTAGCAGCTTAATAACATGACCCATCTGAATAGTGTCCCAGGAAAGTTTAGCAGGACTAACCAACCACAAATCTTCACACCCAACGCAAGCTACCAGTCAGTCCAGTACTGGCATGTTCGCTTGTTCTCACATGCTTGTCCACTCGCGTTTGCCCTGCTTCTAGTGGCCCAATGCCCACGGGCATCCCGGACGTCCGCCGCTGGCTGACAGAGTTCCGCAGCCACTGTATCTGATGAAGTCTCCCCAGAGGTGACCGTAATCGCCTACCAGGTACAAGACTCCGCTAGAGTTGGGACGTTTTCGCATGCAAGTCAACTACCCTGACCGCGAAAAGCTTGTGTCGATTAGAGCATAGGCTACCGCTGCTCTTCACGCAGTTGGGTCAGATCGGTTAACTTAGAGCGGCCACCCATCATCACAATGTCTGGCATCTTTGTTTAGCGTAGTGCTAAATCGAGATTATTCCCCTTCCCTGTGATCGCTTCTAGATGAGCTGACCTGCCAGCCTGACCGCTTGCAATGAACACACACACTCACAGGCTGAAAATTCTTATTCCAAATCTTCTGTATCTAATTGTGATGGGATTCGTAACACGCAGCACGTGCGATCAGCATCCGTTAAGTTAATCTTCCTTGGTTGCGTCGACAGGATTTTACTTCTAGTCCGATGTTATTAAGAATGCGGTTTTGTGTATGCATCGGAAAAACGTTCATCGGAACAGGTCTGCATGAGGCAGGCTGTGCTACCCAGAAATTCTATTTGTTCGGTGTCAGAGAACAACAAGTCGTTGATGGAGCCCCTCCATGTAAGACAGGAGTACTTAACAGACATCACGCCTGACGCCCAGTTTGCCGGTGCCAAGATCGGCCGCGGATTATTTTTAATCCTCTGCTTGACTCATTTAACCTTGTTGGATTACAATGTCACCAATACGTCTACGTCAGTGGCGGGTATTTTTGCTTGATAATAGTCAAATATGACCCTTGACAGCATGGAAAGCGGTTACGGAGCAGCATAAGCAGCGGACGTCTCGGCATGATGATCAAGTAAGAGGGGGGCAATAAAGCCACGCATAATATGGTGATCAGCCGATCTATGAGGTTCCAAAATGAGCTGCGTGCGTTGCCATTGGAACCTAGGGTTCGACTCCGGTATCGTATGTCCCATCCTGTCGTTTCGGACATGCTTTTCTAGGATGGCTATGACCTCGGCAATTGAACCACAAGGGGTAGACGAAAAATGGATTTCCGTAGAGGACGGAAAATTCAGTTGCACCGCTTGCCGACGGAACCTTGGGTCGTTCTGGCAAATGTCTCCATGTCATGTAAAGGTAAAAATCGAACCACAGTTACTTTTTTACTCCTCAGGTAAAGAATGTGCCTTCAGGCTTTAGGATGGCTCTGATCAGTTTACTTCAGTTTATTAAAGGAAAAGTAAGCGAACGCCTTTGAAATCCCTATTGGGTGCAATGCGGGTGTAGCGCCGACGGCAGTGTCCTACTTACCGAGAAGGCACAAATGCTACAGTGATGGACCGAGCACTTCAAAAGCTTCCTCAACCGCCCCTCCACCATCACCGACGCCGCCATCGCCCGTCTGCCGCAAGTGGAGACCAACGCCGACCTCACACTCCCCGCCATCTCTCCACGAAACCATCAGGGCCGTGCGGCAGCTATCCAGCGGGAAATCGTCCGGATCGGACGCGATCTCTGCTGAGATCTGCAAGCATGGTGACCCCCAACTCATGGATCATCTGACGGTGGTCGTCCAGGAGATGTGGCGTCAAGGAGAAGTCCAGCAGGACTTCAAAGACGCCACAATCGTGCATCTTTACAAGCGGAAAGGAAACCGCCAAATCTGCGACAACCAGCGAGGCATCTCCTCACTGAAGATCGCCGTGAAAATCCTCGCTCGCACCCTTCCCAACCGTATGAAAAACCACCTAGAACGGGGTCTCTTGTAGGAAGGCCAACGAGGTTTCCGCCGTCATCACGGAACCATGGACATGAGCTTTGCCGCCCGCCAACTGCAGGAAAATTGTCAGGAGATGCGAACTCACCTGTGCTCTACCTTCTTGGATCTGCCGAAAGCGTTCGACACAGTGAATTGTTAAAGACTGTGGAAAATTATGCAGAAATTCGGCTGTTCCGAACTACCTGCTTAGCTTATGCGTCAGCTCCGCGATGGCATAGTGGCGCGAGTCACGGAAAATGAAGCTGTTTCAGAAGTCTTCGCAGTGACTAACGAAGTGAAGCAGGGCTGCGTCCTCGCGCCTATTCTCTTCAGTCTCATGTTATCTTCCATGCTGATGGACGCCTACAGTAACGAACGTCTCGGGATCCGCGTCGCCTACAGGACAGGTAGCCACCATCTCAATCAGCGACGGATGCACTTCCAGTCGCTTGTATCCACAACTGCCGTTCATGAACTTCTCTTCGTCGACGACTGTGCCCTCGACACCACCTCGGAAGGGGACATGCAAAGGGGCATGGATCTCTTCGCTGCCGCCTGTGAGAACTTCAGCCTGATCGTCAACACGAAGAAGACGGTGATTATGCATCAACCACCACCCGACGGTGCCTATGTCACACCCCGAATCCGCGTGAAGAACGTCCAGCTGTAAGTGGTGGACAACTTCACATATCTGGGCAGCACTCTCTCCCGCAACACCAAAGTCGACGATGAAGTGGCCCACCGCATTTCCATAGCCGTCCAAGCCTTCGTCCGACTGCAGACCAACCTCTGGAACCGTCACGGTCTCCACTTCAACATCAAGCCGAAGATGTACAAGGCCGTCATCCTGCCTACGTTGATGCATGGAGCGGAGTCTTGGACGACGTACAAGAATCAGGTAAGCAGACTTAACCACTTCGACCTCAGTTGTTTACGTCGTATACTGAAGTTGCGGTTGGAGGGCCGGATCCCCGACACGGATATACAGGAGCGGGCGGGAATCCTCAGCAGTTACTCCACGCTGAGGCAACTGCAACTGCGTTAAGATGGCCACCTCGTACGGATGGACGACGAGAGGCCGCCCACAGCACTCTTTTATGGAGACGTCGCCACAGGTATCCGCCGCCAAGGAGACAAATCCGTTGATAAAAAGAAACACTGATGAACTCTCTGAAGGGTCTGCAGACCACTCCGCCCAAGTGCAAAGACCGACCTATGTGTAGGAGAACAGTGATGGCAGAAGTAGCAATCTTCGACGCCAACTGCACCACCGCCGCCAAAGCCGAACACGAGACATGCAAATCTCAACTGCTGCCGCCGCCTCGCAGCGCTAACGCCAAACCACGTCCAACGTGCCCATGATGTCAACGGACGTTCCGCGCGCCAACGGGACTTGCCAGAGCCCTTCGGACCAACTGCAGCACCCAACCTGCCCCAGCAGCTGTCTAATCGTCCAACTCTCCCCCGCCTTCGACGCTCTCAACTAACGTTGGACGCCCTCCCGAACCACCACTGCCGTCCTCCTCGTCCTCGTCCTCGTCCTCGTCCTCGTCCTCGTCCTCGTCCTCCTCCTCGTCCTCCTCGTCCTCCTCCTCGTCCTCGTCCTCCTCCTCCCCCTCTACTACTACTACTACTACTCCACCGCCGCGGCGTCTGCCGTGCTATCAACACTACACACAATACTGACACACAAACACCACCACCACCACCACCACCACCACCACCACCACCACCACCACCATCACCACGACCACCACCGTCATCACCAGTAACGAGGACCCGGTCTTTACCTGTCCTCATTGCGAGCGCACTTTCATCTCACACATCGGCCTGGTCGGTCACATGCGAATCCATCGTACGGAGAGTGGCGAGCCAGGGCCTGGAGCACCAACCTACATCCGCCTCCACTGTCCACGTTGCACTTGCACATTTATTCACCGCATGGGTCTATTATGCCACATGCGTGTCCATGAAAACCCGCGGTAGCCAACCGCCGGCTGCACCACACCATCACATCCTCCCTTGCCATCATGTCGCCGCAGAACAACACCACCCACCGCAAACGCCCAACTGCCACCTTCCACGCAAGCGGGCAATGTGCATCTCGGCCCCTTCATCATGCGGTTCCCTTACTGCATGTGTGATCAGAACCTGAGACGAAGACGGTGCGTCGAGCGCCGTGGCTCAGAAGGCAACCGACTGACGCCCCAACTTAGTACCCACAGTTTGCTCACTTGAGTGTAAATGTGTGGAGTGGCGGACTGGTGGGCTCAGAGCCAGGCTTTCATGGTCCCTTCTCAAGCGATCTGTGACACTCTCATGTATGTGAGGGGTGTGTGCACTTTATGGGTAGTGCCTCTCAGTCGACGACTGTTTGGTTAGCTAACCTTGAAGGGTAATGTTCCAGGCTAATTTCAGGACCAAGTTTCGCCCTTCTAGGTCAAAGGGTCTGAAAGCGTGTGCTATTCCAGTATCAGCAAACCATGACCACCACTCTAAACTAATTCATGCGCAAGTCACCGTCCCTGCTTCCACTCTGTTCTGGAGCACATGGTGGACATCGTCGGTAACGACGGTCGAACTGTCGGTTACGGTAACGTCACAAAAAATCAATATATAAGGCAAGTGTGAGAGAAGAGTAGGTAATTAATTGCAGAAAACGAGCATGTAGAACTTATATAAATCTGTCAGTGTATTCACACCGTGTCAAAATTGTGAAATAATCACTATGCCGTACTTAACTGGCCCCAGTTATATGGAAACAAACGTTTACGCTTCAGTCGGGATTCATTGGTTCGCATGTAGACGTCCGACGTAGGTACTTGACGGAAAAGTTATAAACTAATGTTGCCTAAACAAAGAGAGTAGCATACTTTGTAACGTATAGTAAAAATCTTTTAATTTCTGGTGGTGTGGAGGTACATATCCTCTACTGGTTAAGCTTCCTCTTAAATGTGTCCACGGATGAGGACATGACGACGTCCACAGGCAGTGCATTCCATGCCTTAATCACCCTACGGCTGAAGAGGAATTTCCTTGCGTTCACTCTTGCTCCAGCCACACGTATTGGTGGCCGGCTCAAAGAAGTCGCCAGATGTGAGGCAACAATCGCGACCCTGCAGCATGCGAAAAGTTTGAATTAAGTCGCCACGTAGTCGTCTGTAATAAAGGGGAAAGAGGTCACGATTGGACAGTCGAGTTTTGTAAGGTAGGTTTTTTGACCGCTGAGAAGCTTGGTTGCCCGTCGTTGGACTTTTTCGAGGCTGTCATGGTCTTTGATAGATCAGGATCTTCAGGCCTGAATGGCCAATTATAACTGTAAGCGCACAAACATCCGAAGACCTTGCAAAAACACTCTTCGTCGAACTTCAAAAATGCCGCTTGATGAGATAATAAGATGGAAGTTGCAGATTTCACTACTTTCAAGCAGTGGAATGATGGCCTTAGTGAGGATTTTATCCCCACACCTAGATCCTTCTGAAACTCTACCTCCGGTAGCGGTGTGTGATTTAAAAAGTACTTTATACGGTACGCAGAGCTGGCTCTGCCGATTCGTAGAATATTGCATTTGGTAACATTGGACGGGAGGTGTCAGTGACTTGACCATTGCTCGAGTCGGTTCAAATTTGCCTGTGGATTTGTTTCATTCTCCTCATTGTGGATGACGTTCCAAAGCTTTATGTTGGCAAAAAACATGACAATATCGCAATTCAACCCACGGATGCAGTAATCAAAATATATGAGGAAGAACATAGGGCCAGGAACGGAACTCTGAGGTGTGCCGTTTGCAACTGTCACCTCCGCCGATTGCTGATCATCTGGACGGACATTCTGGAATCGATTCAAAAGCCTGCCTCTTAGCCCTATGCGGCTGAGTTTGTATAGAAGACGTTGGTTTGGCACGCTATCAAAGGTCTTCGTAAAGTCTAGGTAGGCTACATGAACCACATTTCCTCTATCAATCGCTCGGATCCAGCGTTCTAGATAGTAGAGCAAATTGGGTAAGCAGGATCTTCCTCTGCGGAATCCATGCTCCCATTTCGATCCGTGTATGCGCGTTTCGGGAACGGGCCCATGAGCAAAATTTGCGTCCGATGACGGTAGTTTCCCAGTTGACTTATATTTAGTATTCCTGAGTGAATTTAACTATTTTGAACCATATAAAGCGTTATCTTTAAGCCATAAGTTGGAAAATCCGTGTTCTAGGAACAGTAGTTTGTAAGCACGTGGGACGGGAGGTTATTAGTTAGACAATTTGTCAGAGAGATACCTGCTTCTGCGTATCCACTAACTGGTTTATTCTAGGGTTCTGGCCATTTACCAGTCCGCCGATTGTGACCCTACAGTTAATGCTGCCAATACAGAAGTTCCAGGTTGAGTCACCGTAAAGGAGTAGGCGATTGTCAGATCAAACAGCTGTCTTGGGAATCCCCTGCAGTGCTTACTGCGTGTCAAACTTACCATCATCTGATGCTCAATAGTTGTATATGTCGGTCGAAAATTCAGATGCAGAATGATAGCCCAGTGATCGTTCCTCATTATTTAACCTCATGATACTTTACTCGGCTTAAAATTTGTAGCGGACACTTGGCGCAATACGTCATTATCGAACATTTGGTTTGGACGACCTGGGGAAAAACGAAGTTGCGCAGCTGTGTGAACTTTTATTTTATGAAATAATCTCAATAATTCGACGTTTTGTTACATTCTATGACCCCGACTCCGGAAATGCGGACCATCGGGTGTGCAAGGCTAATCTGTATGGGACATTGTAATGTTACTTTGGCAACTGGCTCTACTTGGGACGCTGGTGGACTTTCCTGCAGACATACTGAGTTTTCGAAATAAGAGGCTTACCCCAACTCTTGGTGTTGTAGCCTAGTACTTCTTATGCCTATCCACTGTCATCTTATCCTAAGGCCGGCAACTGAGGGTTGGCGTGACAGACACTGTTAATTTATTGGAGACATACGGTCCAGAGACCAGGGATCATGAATACTGTCCATGTGACAGGCTGGCCACTGGAATATTTGTCGGCGAAATGCTTGACTACACTTTCCGTCATTAGTTCACGTATTTCATGGAGGCAT